GCTATAAACTCTCGTTTAATAAAAGTCTCGCATTTAATGCTTATTTGCGATTTAAAAAAAAAAAAAAAAAAAAAAAATAGCTAACAATCTCTTTTATATATTTTTGACTATTAACACAGCTATTAATTCTAACTAAAGGATTCAACCCAAATTAAAAAAATATTTTCATAACAAAATTTCCACCATTATATTTTACTATAAGAATAAGACAATTAAAATCATATTTTTTTTAGGAAGCTTCTATATATAAATTTTTCTATTATTTTTAAATAATATAAATCTTAATTCATCACTCTACACTATTTTTTTTCAATTATTTATTTTCTAAAAAATTTTTTTACATGTCCAATTCAACTGATTTTTTCAATTAACCTTACTAATAAAAGACTTTCTAAAATCTATTCAACTATAATATTCTATTTTATATAAAGTATATCTGATAATTTTTTGGCTTATATTATTTTCAAATGATTTCAAGAAAATTTTGTATATTTTTTTTATAGGTTTGTTATAGTTTTTTTTATTATTGTTTTAAAATGACATTTATCATATTGAGTTATTTTTTTTGAATATCTACTTGAAGCAACAGAAAAAGTATTGAATTTGTAAAATTTTATTATAATGTTATAAATTGTGATTTTACCATATCCAGTTTTTTTTGAAATTGTTCTTTTAGAATCATTAGCTTCATAAAGACTGATAATTCTTCCATATTTGAAATCTGTTAGTTTTTTTTTTTAACTATTAATAAAAAAGAATAACAAAGTAACTAAGTAAAAATAATATATATACATAGAGCTATTAATGTTAGTAATACAAAACATATCTTTTTTTTTTTTGGCAAGTCATATAGTTATATAAAGCAAAATTTTTATAAATCATTAGAGTGATTCTAAACTTTTGATCAAGAAATGTATAAAGTTTAAAAATAAATTTTTTTAGATTTAAAATTTTTAACAAAATAATTAAAAAATATTTTTCTTACAATTTTTTTTTAGAAAAAGTTTTTTTATTATAAATTTACAAACTACTTTAAAAAAAAGTTTGTTATTAAACTTGAAAAAAAAAACTCTTTCCCACTCCCCTTTCTGTGCTTGAAAATTTCCTTTTTAGGAAATTTTTGAGTTGTTTATTTTTTCTTCGTCTTCTCTTTTCCCTTCTCTCTATGCCTCCTCCTCATACCTCTTTATTTTCCTTCTCCTATCTTTTTGCCTCTCTTCTATATACTCTTTCTTTTTACTTTTACCTCTTCCTTCCTTTTTTCCCTTTTTTTCCTGCCGAAGCTAGGTTTTCACCTTTTCCCTGAAGGTTTTCCTCCCTAGGCCTCTCTCTTTTTTGAAAACTTCGTCTCCATAATATTACTTCTCTGGCCAGTTGACTCTCTTTTTTCAAGGACCATATCAAGAAGCGATAACCTTTCTTAGGATGTGGGCTTTAGGAATTTTTTTCTCTTTCATGATTCCTTAGAAAAAGGACAGATGGTTTACCCCCTCCAAAAGATCGACATGGTCATCATTACCAAACCCGGCGTTGTTTACCGATCGGCGGTTAGACTAGATATGCTCAAGAAACCTCTGTACAACTATTATTATCCAAAAGTACTCAAGGAGTTGCGTTCCACAGTATCCAGAGTGAAATGGCAGCCAATGCCAATACAACTAGTAATAAGCTAGGTTAGTTGCAGGTGTCATGCTGGTGATTGAGGAACTTAGTAGGGTAATACGTGATGACCAGGGATTTTAGTTGCCCTTGCAACATGAGCTGGTGATGACAACAGAAGTTTTTTGCTCACTCCTCCAACAATGTAGGTCTATTGTATAAGATTAGGTTCCAGCACTATTAAGAAAATCAATAAGAACTCCACCTATAGGACACTTCTGCCATACTTGAAGCATAGGTATGCCAAATTCTTTTTGTGACTTGGAGACAAACCTGTATAAAGTGGCTGCAGCGTCTTCATGCAAAAAGGTACTTATCTCCTACTACTTCCAATATCACTCCGCTTGCTGTATATCAAGTCATATTTGGAAAGCAGGCGTGCTAATTCTAATCATGACTTGAAGGCCAACCTGTATAGATTGGCTACAGTACCTTCATGTAATTAGGTATTCATTTAATTCCAGGTAGCTGGACATCATTCATAATTCGATATAGATTTTTAAATTTCTTTTTGTCTATATTTCTTGGATAGTGCTAAAAGAGCACAGGGTCTGGCCCCATATAGGAGCCTTGCATTAAACTTTTTCTAGCAAAGAGAGACGTATGTCGTACTATTGATTATTGTACCTTACCCTGTAAGTAAGTAAAAGTATAATAAATATAATAAAGTGTGATAGCCATTTGCTCTTTTCAAAAAAAAAAAAAAAAAGTTTGTTATTAAAGAAAATATATAGACTTTATTAAAAAACATAAAATTTTTTTAAAAACATTTGTTTTTTGAGTTTATAAAAATATTAACAAAAAAAAATAATCATTATTATAATTTAATATATTATTTAAATTTAAGTTTTATAATTGTTTGAAATTAAAAATACTGTATATATTATTTTATTATTTTGAAATAAATAGTATTAAAAATATACTATCAATAATTTATTATTTAGATTTCTTAAAAATTTTTGTTATAATAAACTGTTTATATTAATAATATTTTTATTTATAAAACTTTGAATTAGTTGATTTTTTTAAATATAAAAAATATTTTTTGAATTGTTGTAATTTGCTATGTTATATCACGCAATATAATAGTGATAAAATGAAGATTCATTATAATAAAAAATTGTGATAAAATTACAATTGTAAAATATTGAATGTATAAAATTGAAAGTTAACTGTATTTTTATTATAAATATTAATTATAGTAATAATAAACCTTCATTAATAAATTGCATTTTAAACTAAATAAATTATTTATAATAATAATTGTGTTCTACTAACAATAAAAAAGATTTTTAAATGTATTACTTAAACTATAATAATACTTACTATATTGTATTACTATTAATATTATATTATTAAAAAGAAAAAGTTTAATATTAATATTTTTTATTAAAATTGACCATCATTCTCAATTTCATATAACGGTACAATGACTTATGAATATTGATTTTACGAGATGAGAAAAAAGAAAACTTTATAATTTTATATTTTGATTACACTGCAGATATTGTATAAAAGGAATAGTCCATTTCTATTTTTTACTAGAACTCGAATATTTTGAGATTTCCTGTAACGCCTCAATCGCAACACTCACCACAGACTCAATTTTGCATTCCCTGACAAATTCAGTTAACTTTTCAGGAACTTTTGCTTTTATCAATATTTCCACCATTTCTTTATTGACTTTGGTCATATTCTTAATGATCTCAACACACCGATGTTGAATTTCTATCGATTGCTCGGACATAAGATCTTTCAATAAATCAATTCCACGTGGTCTCTCAACTATCATTTTACACACATTAGGACTTGTAGATAGAATTGCCAACGCTCCACTAGATGCCCTTCTTGTTTCAAAATCTTCAACATCCGAAAGTGCTAACAATATTTTAATTTTGTTTGCAGCAGAATTTTCGACTTCACTGTACATTTCGTAAACTGGTTCACAAAACATCATATTACATAGACATTCCGTAGATGCCCTGCGAACCATAACATTGTCAGAGAATTGTAAACTTTCTATAATCGGAATTCCTTTGGCATTATATATTCTCATTCGAATGTCATCATCCACACTCCCTAGATTCGTCAGTGCCATCAAAGCTTCAAATTGACAAAGCTCACTTTCTCCTTGGCATAAAATCAAAAGGGGTCTTACCAGATCCGCAGCCCTTTCTCCTCTAAAGGCCAACCTTGGATCCATGGTGATTGCTATCTTCGCCAGAGCTTGCGTTGCGTACATCATTACCTCCCTTGATCCCTTAGTTGCCAATGGAATTAATAATTTGACACCACCTTGTTGAACAATTGCTCCGCGATTATTTTGATCAGTGGAAAGATTTAAGAACACTTTTGCAATAACCTGTCTAATTGTTTCACTATTATTTTTTGACATAGAAGTCAATGCACGAATCACGCCTAAATTCATAACTTGCTTTCCACGATTAACCACGTATTCGTCATCATCCACCGGATCTAATTCGAGATTTGAAGCCTCTCCAGCCATTTTCTTTAATTTAAGATATTGTTCTTCGGTCTCACTCAACCTCTTTTTGTAAGTTGTGATGTTGGATAACATAACCGCGACACCGTAGAATAAAGTGTTATTGTTCGCTTTTACTTTTTGAACGAGCTCGAAAATTTCTTTGAGCAAAGTCGGATGATAGGTTATCATCTCTTTTACCGTAGGTTTTAAACTGGAATAAGCTAATCCTTCAATAGCACTGATCTTTAAATCAACATCATTTCCATCATTCAGCACTATGTTTTCAAATAAATTCGAAAGTAACGCCTCATCCTCATCAATTATCCTAACTTTTCCACCAGTATTCTGCTTTTCGTCGCCCGGCGTACCAGATGATTTTTCGTCCAACATAATCTTGGTTAATGCGACCGCTGCCGTGGTCTTGAGTTTATTGTTTTTGCTAGTCATCAAGCTTGATAAATATTTTTGACAATGCACAGTAACCAACGCTCTACAATTTTTATGCGAACAAGCAATTGATAGGATGTCAGCGATGGCCAGTTGAATTTCCTCGGATTCAAATTCCACACAATCCATCATGTCTTCTAGCAATCCTTCTTTCAACAAGATATTTGTTCCCAATTCCGGAGAGATTTGGAATAATGATTCAAGCGATATATATCCGCATAATTTCTTTTGTTTCTCGGTAGATTTTATCCATTCCGGAATTGTTCTACCCGTGATTTTCTTAAATAGTTCGAGACCAGATTTGTCACCCTTTTTTTGAAAAAGTTCGTAAAGCTTTGTTAGAATTAGT